TATATATACATATATATATGTATATATACATACATACATATATACACACACACACATATATATATGCGTGTATATATTCTTTTAAAACTTCCTTAGCCAGGTGTGGTTGTACTCTGGGAGGCTGAGGCAGAAGGATCACAACTTCAAGCCCAGCCCAGGAAACTTAGCAACCTAGACTCTAAAAAATAAAATAAAAAATTTAAAAGGGCTGGGAATGTAGTTCAGTGCAAAGGCCCTAGGTGCCTATACCACAGGAAAACAAAACAAAGTGAAAAAAACATGCCTAAAGAAGTGCTGTATGTTCTAAATCTTTCCCAGTAATCTTCAAAAATATTTGTGATGTTCCTCAAGTAATGATATTCCAGGTTAATAATATTGCAGGTTACAGTTTTCTACTATGACTGAAATATACATATATTATTGGTAACTCAGATTTCAATGACACAAAGTAAAAATTAAGCACATTTTTAAGGGGAGGGGAATGGGACAAAAAAAGAATTAAGATGACTTGTGTACATGTATAAATTCCCCATGATGAATCTGGTCATTATGTGATGAAAACATAGTGAAAAAAAAACTAATAAAAACTAATAAAAAAATGAAAAAAAGTTGCAGTATTGTAGGAATAAGTGTATACTTCTTAAGAGTTCATTATTTGTATGAATTAAACCTATTTATAAGACCCCAATTATGTGCACTGGAATTTTATTATTTTTATATAATATGGGCTATAAAAGCAAGATGCAGAATCCCAGGTAGACCTCACTGATGTGAAAGTCTGCTTCCTCTACAGTGTCAGACGCTTGAATGAGTATCAGAACATTTGGAAAGGAAAACATTTTATTCTCCTGTTCCGTAAAGCAAGCAGTAGTAGCCCTCTAGGTAGCCCCTAGGAACTTGCTGGAGCCCAAAAGATTCATATAAAAACAAGGGGTTTTCTGTCAAATACATAAGTCAACTTATTTTCTAATTGTATCCGATAACTAACAGCTATTTGTCCTTCTGCTCAGACTAGCTCGAGGGAACTGTCTGTATTGTGTCCAAAAATCCCTTTCCAAACCTGGTGATATTCAGGTCATCCTGGACATCCCTCAACAGACTCAAGTTGTTCATGGAAACAATAGGCTTTTACACAGCCTTCCATCTGGGAAATGTCTGTGTGTCCCTGGGCCTGTGTAAAGGGTAAATGTGACATGGCAGGAAGCCCGGGCACAGCATTATTCCAACTGTGTGTAGCAGGTGTATTTGTAGTCCTCATAAGATAAATAGCCACATTTATGTATCTGCATCACGTATTCGGCTCTGAGTAAGTGTATAATTACAAAGGACCAGAACAAACCCAAGGGCAACATACAGCAACATTTAAAAGCACATCGGGCGTGGTGGCGCACATCTGTAATCCCAGCACTCGGGAGGTGAGGCGGAAGGAGCATGGCTGAGTTTGAGGCCAGCCTGGGCTACATAGTGAGTTCAGGACCAGTCTGAACTACAAAAGGAGATTCTGACTCAAAAAACAAACAAACAAACAAAACATTTAAAAGCATTTTTTCATATCAGTCTATTTTTGAACCCTGTAACATGAGCCAGGCCTGAGAAGTAACCTTGATGTTTTTCTGTTTAGCAGTGGAAGCCTCAAGAGTAACTTTTCCAAAGGCTAGAACTGCTTGTATGTGGACAAGTCAGCTGGTGTCAGTCTTTCACTCCCCCATGTGAGGCAGCAGGGCCTTCGAAGGTGAGGAAAGTGGAACACAATGTCAGACGGCTGCTAGGTTAGGGGGCGCAGGCTGCAACCAATCCTCAGTTCTTAGCGGACTTCAGCAAACAAGGGAGTCTTCCACAATTAATAAAACATACGTAAGATCTACAGATTGGAGTACTATTTACAGCTCTACTGAAAGGAAAAGTATAAGAGTTTGAGAAGAAAAGGAAAGGAAAAGAAAACAAAATTATTTTCCCCAACTCCAGTTTGGGGAACTGTATATAAGTTCATGCTGTATTTTAAAATTAAGGATTAGAAAATGAATATACTTCTCTGTTTCGTAGTTCAGTGCAACATATGAGCTGTAGATTTGCTTGGGTCTCATTTTCCTTAAGAATGTACAAGACAGTATCAACTGACAACCAAGGGGATGGTTTTCCTATAAATAAACAAAAAAGCCCAAATACCTTAAAAGAAGCAATTACTATGTTTTCTTTACTATTTAAAGAACAGTTAGTGTTTTTTCTCCCTTGATTTTTAAAGAAGTACACATACTATTTTTCTATATAAATGTCTTGATATTTGCAATAGGCCACACACTACACACAATGACCACGTGAGAAAGATTCAATGCCTGCTTACTTTCTAAAACTCTTACATCTTACACTGAACTCATGAAAAAGTGAAGTTTTGGAGCAACTCAATCTCCTGAAAGCCAGGGAAATCGAGGCCCTTCTGGAGGAGAAGATATGTGGAGGCCTCTGCTCTGAGTGGAGCACAGCCTGTCTGCCGGTGTTCCTCCTCCGGAAACAGACTCCTGGCCTCTACGAGGTATGAGGTCTCCTCTAGTTCAGTCCCAGCATCTCGGAGTCATCAGTTCTCAAGGTCAGCTGATCCTCAGAAACAAGTCCCCAGCCTGCTCTCCCCTCCCCTGCCAGCCTGCTTGGCCGCCTGTCTCCTGGCTCTGCCGCAGCTCCAGGCACTCTCTACACGCTCAGCAGGCAGCTGACCACCCCACCCCATGAGGAGGACGAGGGAGGTGGGCTGCACCTTCCTAGCCTCTCCCCAAAACTGTCGGGGTGGGGGCAAGACAAACCCTCGACTCCCTGCAGGGACACTGCCCCAGCCCTGCCCGGTCCACCCGGGTCCCCAGCCTGGCTCCTACACCCTCGGGGGAACAGACAGGCCAGGGGAGGCCAGCCAGCCTAGCGCTACACACAACAGTCACCCGCGGTCAGGTCTGGCGGGCACTGTGCAGCATGGGGTGGCTGTTCTGCAGCCCTTTCTAGTCTGATTGTCACCTCCTTAGTGCACCACCTCCTGGACCCCGCTGAGCCGCAACCTGAAGGCCCGGCCCTCCCAGCACTCAGCCCCCTTTCCCTGTTTTTTGCTATAGCACCATGACTTTCTAACTACCACACTGTGATGTTTATTATAGACTAAGTTCACTTGCCGGTACTCTGATACACTCAAAACGCCTACACTGCTGCCTACATTGATCTCAGGTTTTTAGGACTCTCTGCCAAGTGCCTGGTAAATGAACAATAAGAATTCATAAGAACATAGAAAATTAACAATGTATTTGCATGGTTATCCTGATTCCTTTCTCTGAGAAATGACTACTGTAGTTCCTATTTAAGAGCATCAAACACCAAATACAGAAAGTATCCTGTTAGGTATGCAGTGAAAACTTTCAGAATCTCTACTTTAGGAAGAGAGAATCCTCTTGCAAGAAAATGTTCATATATAAACCTTATAAAAGAAAAAGTAAAGACTGATTTAGGACAACCAACACTAAAAAGCTAACTGGGAAAGGATCACTACAGACATCTTTCACTGGTTAAAAATGACACACTAGGCATTCTAGACAGTAGCAAGGAATTAATTTTTATCTAAAAAAGAACATTACCATGAATGCAAAGATTATTAATAAAGATTGTCTCAGTCATAGACTTGGACTTTGAAGGTAGTGAAATGTACTTGCAGTTTCATATCCTAAATTATGTTCCTGTAGAACTTCTCTTAAATTAATTTTAAAAACAGATAAATGAAAAAAAACCCAGATAAATGGAAAAAGCCAAGATAAATAGCATACAAAGCATTTTGTCTCTGCTGTGAATGACATGGAAAGCAAATGACTTTCTTTGTATATCTTATAACAGTCAATATGTAAACGTGCTGAAACACATCCGTATGTTTCTTATTTGAGCAGATTATTTTCTTCACTGACCGGGCCCATTATACCTCACGTAATTATTTCCAAAGAGAGTACAAAGTGTTATTTGGAAACAGAAATTTGAACTTGCCTTCGACATGACTCAGGTTCAGCGGCTTAATGGTCAGGTGCACTGCGGACCGCTGGGCTATGTGCGTCCTGTACTGGTGACTCACGACCTCGCCGCCGTCCTCCAAGAAGAAGCAGCCTCTTGACCGCACACACAGCCAGTCCTGAGGTGAAGCAAACAGGGCTCTCAAACCGCTTCTGCTAACTGCTCCCAGCACAAATGGCATTGAGGAAAGGGCGGGAGAGGCAGGTGTGAGAGAAACTTCAGACAGTCCTTGCCCTCAGGGATGTGCAACGCAGGAGGTAAGAAAACAGCCCCAAGGCTAATCAGTGCCACACAGCAGGACATACTAACTACGTAAGGAAAGTGCAGAGCACTGGGGCCCAGCCAACATCTTCCGTCCGACTGGTTGGGTGCAACACGGATGGAAACTGACGGGCCTTCCGTGTGCGTCCCTGTGAAGATCAGCATCGTCTGGATAATGAAAAGTCAAGGAAGTACATAATGGGGAATCAAAGAAGAATGAAGCTCGCAGCAGAGGGGAAGAAGTAAAGCACAGTAAGGAATGTGTTGCTGTGATAGCTAGGAAAGACCGAAGAAGGAAGGGATGGAAAGGAAAAGCGGTAGGACTGCATGTGGAGATAAAGCACACAACACCCAAAGTAGCTGTTTTCAGTTTCAGTAACCAGAAGAACACTGAGTAAGTTCCAGAACTACAGAAACATGCAGATACATAGAAAAGGTCAGCTTGGAGAAAGAGCTTTCTGTAATGGCTCTACTATTTCTTAGTGTAGCCAGATCCCTTCAGGTCTGGGTCCATATTTCTTAGAACTAAAATTAAGTAGAAACTGAAAACAGCACACTGGGGAGAAAGTAGAGGATTCTTTACTGAACTTAAAAGAAACTGTGCTATTGCCACAAATGTGTACAAAATTGTTTTTCGCTGTATCATTAGTAGGCTTGCCTATGTGAAATGTAAGGCATATTTCTGTTCTATCCCTAATAACTTCCCAGAGTAGAGCATTAATGAGGCCTTGAAGTGACTTTATAAAGAAAGATTCTTAATATATCTGTAAGAACATTTACATATTAGATATTAAGCTCAGTGCTTTAATACTGAAAACTACCCAGAAGACAAACTGTACATTAAAAAAAGACTTACATATACTTTTTAAAGGCTAAATTACCCTAACATATACTTGTGTATCATTTTTCTACTGTCAATTATTTTAATATTTAATACATTTTAAATTAGAAATAGAAAAGAATCCCTATAGGGCCTGGGATTTAGCTCAGTGGTGCTGCTGCCTACCTTGCAAGCTCAAGGTCCTGAATTCGATCCCTGGTACAAAAGAAAAGAATCCCTGTAACTCTCCCACCCTACTCGATTTTTATGTAATCCTTCTTATATTGACCTTACAGAAAACCCTATTTTTTGCATATTAATAATACAATTTTATGTTTCATTTTAAAAATTTAATCTTTTATCTAAAATATTTTGCTGTTGAAAAAGAACAAAGCTAGAGCCAGACGTGGCAGGATATGCCTAAAAATCCCAGCACTCTGGGAGGCTAAGGCGGGAGGATCACAAGTAAAAGCCCAGCCTAGATAATCTTGCAATTTAGTGAGACCATGTCTCAAAATAAAAAAATAGAGGGGAAGGGGGCTGATGCAGCTCAGTGTAAAGGCCCTGGTTTCAATTACCCAGTACAGGAGTGGTAGATGATGACTTCTTGTGGGTACATAAAACATTCAGTATATACAGTATTCTCCATACTTTTTATTTTTTTCAGGGCCTTGTGCTTGCCAGGCAGGTGAGGTGCCACTGAGCTACATCCCCAGCCCTCTGCATATTTTTATATATCCCAACTACTTGACAGTAAAAGCTAGTATTATAGCAATTTTTGTATTGCTTTGAATTTCTCTGATTACCACTTGTAAGATGACCATTCACTGATTTTTGGTTCTTTTTGTGTGAACTGCCAAGTCATCTCTTATTTTCTACTGTATTACAGCCTTGGTATTTTCTTACATATTTTACTTTTTGCTTACATATTTTAATAAACTCTTCTGACTATTTTAGATATCACCCACACTCTTTTCATGCTTTGATGCATGCACAGCCTCCATTTATCTTACTTTTGGTTATTTCTCAATTTGTATAAGCTTTTCATGTTTATTTTTTACCTTTTCTTTTTTTCAGACAGGGTCTCACTGTGTAGTCCAGGCTGGCATAAAACTCCGGCAATTCTCCTGCCTCAGCCTCTTGAGGGCTGGGGTTACAGGGTTGTAAAACCACCATGCCTGGCAAATTTGGGGGTGCCTCCCCTCTGGGGTACCATCTTCCCCATGCTGACCCTTGCTCTATCACTGTCCCTAATTAGGCTCAATCCTAATCTAGCCCTAACCTAGCACTGACCCTAACATCCTGTCCTAGGATTCAAATTTACAACCTCACCTAACCACTAGGCCACTGAGGCTGCTTCTCTTTTTTTTTGAGACAGGATCTTGCTTTGTAGTGCAAACTGCCCTCAATTCACAGTAATCTGCCTGGCTCCACCTCTTGAGTGCTGGGATTACAGATGTGTGCCACCACATCTGGCTATCTTTTCTTTAGCAATTTCTTCTCAAACTGGATCTAAACTTTTGAGGGTTTTCTCATTCTTATTGAACCACTACTCAAGCTTCCAGTCAGTCATTATAACACGCAACTTCAGAAGATAAAAGATTCTGAGAAATTAAAATGTGACCTTAAAAAACTGGGATTAACCCTCTTAAATACAACTTCCCTGTGAGGCAGTGTGGGATAGATATAAATTAGTCACTTAATAGCCAGAGAGAACCCGGTATTAGAGGTTACACAGACTGAGTTTAGAAGTTTTTTGTGAGCCAGCGACATGGCGTGGTGGTAGCATCTTGCCTGGCACGTGCAAGGCCCTGAGTTTGATCCCCAAGGCCCCGAAAACCAAAAACAAGGAGTTTGTAGAAATACTAATTCTAGAGTCTAAGACTTTCTCACAAGGATACCAAACAGAGAACTTCAGTGTTCCCTCACATGCTGAGGTTCAGACTCAGCCCTGTGCCAAAGCTTAACTATCACTGATGAGGATGCGCAAAAAGTTTCAAATTTTGGAACATTTAAGATTTGTGATTTTTGGATCAGCAATGCTAAAAGTAGAAGGAACCAAAAAAAGCAATCTAGTGCATAGTTCCTTTTTTGTCCTGGGGATCAAACTTGGAACCTTGCGCTTGCAAGGAAGGCGGCAAACCACTGAGCTAAGTCCTCGGCCTGAACTCAGGACCTTACGCTTGCTTATGAGGCAGGCACGGTGCCACTGAGCTAAATCTCTGGTCCCATATATTTCCTTTTTGATGGATATGAAAAGTCTGAAAAACAAAGTGCACAATGTCACAGCCCTCAGTGATGGCAGAACCCGAGTGGGAACCCAGGGCTCCCTACTTTCTTTCCTTGTTTGGTTTGGTTTTTTGAGACAGGGTCTCACTATGTAGTTGAGACTGACCTGGAACTCACTGTGTAGCCCAGGCTGGTCTTGAACTCACAGCGATCCTCCTGCCTCAGCCTCCTGGGTGCTGGGATTATAGGTGTGCACCACCATTCACAGTTTAGGTCTCCTTATTTTCTAGTCTGCCAGTTACAAGTTCTATTCACTTCCACATTTAAACATCTGCCTTTGAATTGTGTAAAGCCAGTTTTTAAAAGAAATTTCATGTTTATGATATAATAATAAAGTGTAATAAATCATTATCATTCTGAATTAACCAAAAATTTAAATATTAACATAAAATTAGGTATTTGGATTTCTTACCTAATAATATAGCTTTTAATAGCTGCAACATTTCTCATACTTATGTTGTAATCATGAGTGTACCAGTTCATGCTAATTAAATGCAACTGTAAAAATTTAAAGCAGTTTGCTTGTACATTGATATTGAATATAATTTGTATCATTTGGGAAACTCAAAAATGGAAGAATTTTTTTCATGGATTGGTACTTTTGGGGTTAATGCCATAGGCTGATAGAAGACCTTTTCATAAAATATAGCTAGGGAGAGGTTAAACATTGTTGTTAGATTGTCTTAAGTTTCAATTTTGAAAACAATGTACAATAGAAATATGCAAGTTTCTGTGGAAAGTCTGCTGCACTAAATGGGACATTGTACGTAGATTAATAAGGCTGGAAAATGGTGGACCAGCAGTTATTATACAAGGGAGATAATCAGGTTATTTTGAACAGTGAATAACATGACCAGGGAGAATTTATAGCTCCACTCTTTAAAATGAAACATTTGCTTTCTTAAGATCTGTGAGTTATCAAGCATACAACTGCTTATGCAACTTAATATTTCCTTTAAAACACAGACTTTCAATCATACTGAGATTTTTCTCTTGGATCTAGACTAAAATGTTATGAATTAGAACAAAAAAGTACTGATATATTGGCTGGCTCATTCAAATAAATCAATTTGAAAAAATGATAGATTAAGTGGACAGTTTGAGTATTATAAGAAAAATGTAAGGTGTTTTTTAAAAATTTTAGAATGACAGAGTAAGAAACTCCATGCATGACAGAATATTTTGACAACAAAGCAGAAATAAAATAACAGCTTGTAATTCCTATTCAGGGCATGAGGTGGTGCTATGTTCTACCAATTCAGGTACAGTAATTCATACAAGTGCAAACAATTGCTACTTCATTCATTTGTGAGATAGAAATTTTACTTACTTTCATTTGTAATATAGAAAGAAGAGCTGAAAGCACAAATTAAAAATAGTAAAGCAGAAAAAAGCTATCAAAACATATTATGTTACATTTTTCTTGGATTACAGTAATGAACGTGGTTTAATCTGACATACAAATTCTGTATTATTAAGAAAACACGGGCTGGGGATTTGGCTCAATGGTTCCGCCACCTGCCTTGCAAGTGCAAGGGCCTGAGTTCGATTCCCAGTACAAAAAAAAAAAACAACATTAGGTGGAGTAGGATTAGCAAGTAACAGATCTGATAGCTTTAGTCAGAAGATGAATTTACTTTTTTTAAATAAAGGTATCCTGTGTCACTTGTTAGAAAGCTATTTGCATTCCGTGTGCTAAGACAGGTAGGTAGGTAGGTAAAGATATTCTTTAAATAGGTGAAATAGATAATCTACAAAGGGAAAAAGGGACATGGATTGCCTCTTAAAAAGGCTGGTCAACATTTTGAAAGAAACTACTTGGAGCTTTTACAAAACTTAACAGTGAATCATTTTGAGACAGAGTTTGTATTATCATATAGATATCTATAAAATATATATGTGCACATCACATATATATGGTATGCATGTACCAGTAAAACTGGTTACACATAGGTTTTGAACATATGCTGCACAATGTACGTATACCAGTGTTCATAGCATCATTAGGCAGAATAACGGGTGTGCTATGTGTGCCTCTAAGGTACAATACAGATATGTAAACATATACATGTGGTTTGGTGCCTACTCTGATTTTAGTCATGATTTGCTTTAGCAAGTTGAAGCTACTTCTCCCCGAGAATTCCTGACATTCCTTGAAAATTACAGAACCTAAGGAAATGCACAGAATCCAAGATTTAAAAAACCCCAGTAACACAGTACCTACTGATGGCAAGCTGAAAGCAATATATCTATAATCGCTGTAAAGTTCATGTTTTCCTCCCATAACTCAAGTCCTGTATGAAACAGTGTGGATTTGTTTAAACTCTGGCTGCTGGCCGTGATGCTGCACTCCTGTAATCCCAGTACTAAAGAGGCTGAGGCAGGAAGACTACTTGGCACCCTAACTCTAACTATCAAGAAAAAAATAAAGAGCAGGGGAAGGACAGGACAGACCCCATGCTTAACCTATTCCAACAATTTCCAAATTTCTGAAGCTTTCCTTCTCTGACCCAATTCTATACTTTGTTTCACCTGAAACTGAGGTACCACTTGTTTAAAGAATTAGAAGAAAATTAATATAACCATCTTTTTAGTAATTTACTCAGAATTTTTATAACTAAATACTTCTCAGAGTGGCTATAAACCTCATAAAAGTATAAAATTTATGAAATTACTTCAGAGTAAAGTGAAAACAAAGAAAGGAATCCTATAGATTGACAAAAGGGCCATGAACTTCTAAAAAAGTCATGTCAGCTCAGTTCATCCAAGAAATACCAAATGTGAAACAGTGGGAAACATAAAGATCAGAAACAGGATATAAAAGGGTAAGACATACGGAGCTAACAAGTATTTCCAAAGGATATTAAGTTTTATATGAAAATCACAGAATTAAAAAGTTGACGATAGGCTAACTTTAGTTTTAATTATCAAATTTTCCTGGTACCTTCTGCCTAATTCCCAGTCGGCACCAGCATCTTCCCTGCTGCTGACATCTTGGCCACCAAGCCCAGGTGGACTCTTATACAGCTCTACGGCCGACAGAATCATTCCCAACAGATCTGCCCCATCCCTATGACCAAGCCCTGGATCGCCCCATCTGGATATTGCATCCGTCCCCGGACAATCTCTCTCCACACAATACCAGGAACTTCATAAGCTACACTTTCATCTCGCCATTACCACCTCAAGACCTACCCTCATTTCTCAGGTCTACAACTACTAACAAGCCAATATTTTATTCCAGTGACTATTTTATGTCCCTTGCTATCAGACTAAATGTTTTACATATATTAAGATTTAAGTCTTTCCAAAACACACTAAATGTGATTATTTCCAATTTATAGATAAAGAAACACATCCAGAAGGGCTGCTGATTAACTTACCCAAGTTGGCACAGTTATTACGGAACAAAGCTAGGGTATGAGCTCAAGTCTGTAACCAACACTATTCATCATCAATACCTAGAATGATGTGTGGCACACAGTACTTCAGTAATTATTTGTTGAATAAATGAAATGCTATGCTATGCCACCTTGCTATATGTTAATAACCAAACGAAGATTTCTGTGTTTTCATTCAAGGTTAATTTTTTTCTGGTACTGGGGATTGAACTCAGGACCTTGAGCTTTCGAGGCAGGCAGTGGCACCACTGAGCTGAATACCTGGCCCTCAAGGTTCATATTTTATACTAAGTTAAATGGCCGGCATATATTATTTGAAATTAAATGAATTTTATTGGTATGGTCTCAAATAATGGCACAGGAGAAAAAAGGCTCATTATGACTTGATAAAATCTATATTAAAACGTATGCCTCTCCTGAGTAAAATTATATTTATTTATACTTTTGAATCAGATCACTAATAATTATTTAAGCCAATGTTATTATCATTTAACTTCGTTGTGAAATACAAAAAGTTTCCATTTGTGGAAAATACTATGTCTGGAACACTAAAAATTGTGCGAACATGATGGGCGTGCACACCAAATTGCTTAGGTGCACAGATTCCTAAACAGTCAGAGCGAAATTCCTTGGAGATAATGCTTTAAAATTTTAATATAGAACAAATGTCACTGTCTAGCAACTTAAAGATATAAGGGACTTCAGAGTTCAATAACAAATACAGAGTTGTTATTTGAAACAAAAATGTAGCTCTGGAGAACAATCCGTTCGGTTTTCTAACAGCAGTTATAGTATGTGGTCATAACCATTCCCCCCCCTTACTGCGGTCTCCAGGTGCACATTTTTAATGTAGCCTAGCAGTTTCCAGTTAATGTTTTATATTTCTGTAGCTATTATTTTCTGTTGAAAGAAAACTAGTAAAGGTTGTGTCTAAAAAGGGAAAACAAAGGAAGAAGATCAATATTGGCCCTCTACAAATATTGACTTAGCAGAGTGACTTTGTTGTCTCTCTCTCACAGGACAGGAATTGATAGTGAATGAATGATTTATTCACCAGCAACATCTACAGAAAGTGTCTGTTACATAATTAGACAATCTCCTCACCAGGTTCAGATATTCGGGAGTTACCATTTTCAAACCAAAGACCTATGACAACATTCTTCTTACTTTTATTTAAAAATATTACAGGGCCAGGGACACAGCTCAGTGGCACAGCACCTACCTGGCAAGCTCGAGGCCCGAGTTCAATTTCCGGTACCAAAAAAAAAGTTACAACTGACTTAAATGCGGAAATGCCAAGTTCCACAGGAAGAACCATGAAGAACTACTTCAGTTTTAATGGCTCACTGTTCACACAAAATAGCTGCTAATAAACTCAGTATCAGTCTTTTTTTCCAGAAAAAGTTATCTCTGCTAATTTAAAATACTTTACCTTTAGATTTGGCTCAGTTAACTTTGAGTTTTGGTTACTGTTAGCAGCCATGGAAATTGTGCAGGAAACGGATGCTTTAAACTTTCTCGCGGTTGACAGTAAAGAATCCCTGGTATCACCTGGGGGAACATAATAGTGATTGGGTCTCCTCATTCGGGAAAGTTCTTAGCAGGTGTTTGTTTCTAAACACAGTGTGGTAATAATGTCACTCTCTTGGTTCTTCCTACTGAAATAAGATTCAAGGTTTTGTATTTATCAGATTTTCACGGTCCCTAATTTATGGGCTACTAATAAGATTCCTTACTTCAATATGTTGCAGTTCTGTGTGAAATTTTTGTTTTAATAAAATATAATGAGCACAGCTAAGTCAAGTCCCTTAATAAAATTTATTTCAATTGAGTTATTACAGCTGAGAGTCTAGAAGTTGTATCCAATGAAAGTTGGATTTTCATTTATCACTAAGCTGGGATGGAAGAACAGTTTTATCCGAATAATGACTCTCCATTCTTGATGGAGAAATTCAGGGTCAAGAGTACATACCTTTATTTGAGAACGCTTCCTGATCACTTTTCCTTGTGATTCCAGGTGACGGTTTTGGTACTGACGACGAGTCCCCCTCGGAGAGCACTTCCATTTGGCTTCCAAACTGTTGACGCCTCAGTTTACTGTCAGCCTCTAGCTTTTCTAGTGCAGTCTTGAGACACTGCCCGCTGGTTGTCATATATAATTTACAAAACTACAGGAAATAAAAAAAAGGAGTCCGGTGGGCGAACCATTCAATCATACATTTGGGAGGCAGAGAAGGCAAACGCCATTAGGAGGGGGGATAGACTGACAGACGGAATATATTTCTTGTTGGACTGGGTTGTTTTATTTTCCTGAATCGGACTGGCCGGCCTCGAGTGGCCTGGTGAGACGCAGCCATGACTTAGTGAGAAGGTCACACTTGGAGAAAATGAAATGCCACACAAGGAGAAATGATTCATTTTTTTTTTTTTTTTTCACAAGATGGACTCACTTACGTTTGTTCTAAATAATTGTGATTCTTCCACCCCGGAAAGGGTACATTTCTGAGGTTCTCTATGTTGCCTGCATGTCTGTATGTGCAGACAGATGCATTTTAACTTGCTTATTCAGGCTAAATAGCTTGTCTAAAATATTGGAACCAAAGTTGTTTTGGATTTTTATCAGGGATTTGGAGCTTTTGTGCATCCATAGAGAATTTTCTTGGGAGTGGAACCCAAGCTCAAACAAGAACTTTGCAGATGCCTCACATGCGCCTTCAGGCATAGCCTGAGGGCAGTTTTGTATAATATTTTAGTGAGCCTGCATTTTGACTGGAAGTCCTGACAGGAGGCCACAGTGTGGAATTTTCCTTCCTTTCCTTTTTCTTTTGTTTTTTGGTACTGGAAATCGAACTCAGGACCTTGCACTTGTGAGGCAGGTGTGGTGCCACTGAGCTAAATTCCTGGCCCATGCTTTTAATTTTTAAAAAGACTTTTCTAAGGGCATGGGGTATAGCTCCACCGGAAATGTGTGTAGTATGCATGAAACCTGGGGTTTCACCCCTAAGGGAGAGAAAACCTAACACATTTCTGATGTCGATTAGCTTGATTTAATCATTTTACAAAGTACAGAGTACTTATCAAAACATTACATGTGTGCTATAAAAATATATAAATATAGGGGCCAGGGATTTAGCTCAGTGGCTACCTACCTCACAATCATAAGGTCCTGAGTTCAATTCCCAGTACAAAAAAACAGAATGTTTTTTTTAAATATAAAATATTTTATATAACATTTTGTTAATTATACCATAAGAAAGCTGAGGGAAAACTAAAATATAAATAATTTCCTAAATAATATGCAAATTATATACCTTAATGTAGTCAAATTTGCCATCAACATTTACATCAGGCAAATTTATTACACTATTAACTTCTTCTGGAGTCATCTTCTCACCTCTCTGAAAGAAAACAAAATGATCACCACTTTGTTATTAATTAGGATAATGAAAATTAAGTTTTAATCTCTTCTACAAGTTGGAACATGTGGCTTCACAATAAATCAGAATAAGCACTATGTCAGGCGATAATGAGAGTGTTATGCAGGATTAAAAACTCACAATTTTATTAAATTTTGTGAAAATGTGCAAAGTTTCGGTTCACTAAATTTTGACAATTGTATATCATGGAATTGTAACTTACTGAATTTAAAGTAATGGTACTGTCTAATACTGCACCAAGAGACAGTGGATTCTAAAGGCTTTTACGTTTTGCTTCCCCTTCCCTCTTGTCACACATGGACCCATGTGATTTGCAGATCCCTAGGTAGGAAGGGACTGTGGGAGCACAGGGGCCTGCAATGTGGGCTCGGTCTGATACTTTGTCTTCTGCTGAAAACAGCACCTGTTATCTTGAAGGATCTAGATATAAGTTCATCAGTCAGTGTCGTAATTTTTTTGCTTGTTCTTTTGAGATAGGGTTTTGTTATGTAACCCAGGCTGGCCTCAAACTCACAGCAATCCTCCTGCTTCAGCCTCCTGAGTATATCACCATGCGTGGCAATAGAGTAATTAGTTTTAAGTGAACTTTACTAGCCACAGCTCAACTCCAAGGCTTTGCAAATCTGCACATTACAAGAGGTTCACAGATCTTACCTTTGTTAGAAATTTATGAAGGTCGGTGTGTGAAATACAGCCGTCATCATTTACATCTAACTGCTTAAATGCTTTTAGCAGTTCTGCTTTTGAAATAGGTTTTTCCTTCCTTAAAATTACACAAAAATCGTCAAAATTCAGTTTGGCAGTTTGAGGAGTCCAATACTTATTAATAGTTTTCTGGGATGGATTTCTTCCTGCATGCTGAAGAGCTGCCCAATAAAACAGGTATCTGTCACTGTAACACCCGGAATTGGTGTTTAGGTTCACTTTTTCTTCAAATCATGATCTGTTAATGATTTTAAGCAAACTTCATATATAACAATACAGTACCTCCGGTTGACTTTCGAGTTACATCAATGTATGCATGACTTGTTTTGTTTTGTTTTTGTTTTTTGGTACCAGGGATCAAACTTGGGCCCTTGTGCTTGTGAGGCAGGCAGTGGAACCACTGAGCTAAATCCCCCCGCCCTTACGCCTGACTTTTAATAGCAAAACATATGTGCCACCAGCTAAAGATTCTCAATTTATTAATGCTCAAGTTAAATAAATTTTTTCTTTTCTGACAGTTTGGTTCTCCACCTACGTGGTTGAACTGTTAATATCAGATTTACTAAGCACTTTTAGAGGAAAAAAGATTAAAACTGTCGCCCACTTATTTGTTTTAAGGACATTAGGACAACAGCAATAAACATAAATCATTATGTTTTATTGTTCAACAAATATTTTAATGAAGTGAAGAAGTCATTTTAGTGTCACCAAGGGCATGATACCTAACATGCTCGTCATTGCTAGGCTGGCTTTCGTAAGTCGTGTTTCCAATGCCTCACACATCTGCTCGCAATTATGGCTTCACTAAAAATCAAGAATGTCAACATATTTTGAGAGAACACTGTCAAAGAGATGCAATGGATAAAATACTTTTTAAACCATTTTACTAACATACATATATCTTGTACAGTTGAATATATGTACTCTGGTAATTTGCAAATAAACACCTGCATATTAAAACACAATTCTATATAAAATGAGTTAATAATGCTTCCTAAGACCTAGGAGGAATTAATAGACAGTTGAGTTGTAACTTTGCTAAAATATACAGATATATTTCTTTAGTTACCAACTTCATTTATAAAACTTTATATTGGACATTTCCAACTGTGTCAGATGAGAACTCACAAGATGTGCACATCGAGAATCAGCACTAAAAATGAAAATCTGACTGTTGTACAATTTGATGTAATAAGGACTAATACAAAACAATTTAAAGAAATATCCTCAAGAAAATAGAAACTAGAGTCAGTTGTAATGAAGACGCATTGCACATAGGCATATACAGGGTGATTTTTGTCAGATATACAAGCTTTCCAGTTACAAAGAAGTTCTATAACACAAACAGTCTATCTCTGAAGTGTAGGAATGCTATCTGCAGCCATGACTTATTGTCAATGATATATCAGAAGTTCAGAGACAAAGGAAGTTTCTGATTCTCCAAACTATGCCAGGGCAAAGTAACTATTTGATTTAAACTCTGTCACAGAGCAATAAAAAAATAATCTAGAGGGGAACTCTGGAGCTAACAGAAGTACTTACAGCAATCACCATGTTCTTTTTATGTGTAAAGACTCTGGAAATTTGCAGCACTGGGGATAACTGAGCTTTTATTTCCACAGGTTTATTCTGGATGTATATTTTAGCAAAGTTACAATTCCCATGGTTCCCTAACTACAAAGTACAGGTAGCTATGAACAGATGATTCCATAATTCATCTATTAATATAATCAAGAGAAATGGCACAGGTTAGGGTTATGTGTCCAGCCAGCACCCATCCTTTAAACATTGGGAATAGAAACAGAATCTAAATGTAGTTATAATTTGAAAGTCAAAAACTCCCTAGGAAAGAAAGTGATGCTTTCTACCCAGCATTGGATAAACAGGTACATGACTGCTTTTCTCATAGTGGCAGCTCCATGTACACTTGCCACTGTCTTCAGTGACAATAAAAACCACGCCAAAATACATACTCGGTAAGTAGACTTTCCATTTCTAAGAAATTGAGATAATCTAATTATTACTAACTTTTTAAGTCTCAAGGTTTAGAAATAGTTCATTTTTAAGTCTGATGACAGTGAAAATATCCTGTTAAGTATGGATGTTCAAAGAAAGGTTGACACTAAGATTCTGATCTTTTGCCAAGGTTTACTTTAAACTTTCACATGAGTCCTTAGCACTGTATTATTTATGAATTGATAAATAAAAAGCTGTAAAGCTTTAGTGTCTAAGAGGCAGAAGGTCATCAATGGAAGACAGTGGTAAGAAAGAGACATCATGATTTGCATTACTTCTTAAAAACTAGATTATCTGAAATCAATTACTATAATGCCAGAAGGAATATTCCACTATAAAACCCAAAGAGTATATAACATAGAAAAGACAAACACTGCATTGTTATCGTTCAAGATAATTTCTAAGACTGTTAGCACCTTATCAATACAGACTTATTGATTCCACAAACCAAACACTATAGAAGTAGAGGGCATGTTAAGCTTTTAAACTTAGCGGATTCATTATCTCAGCCTATTTCAAAAGAAGAAAGAAAAAACTCAGAGAGTCTAGGACATAGCAACAAACTAGAATTTAAATTAACTGGATTTTTCCTTATAACAATTAACATATATTAAACACTAATATTTAAATTTCAAAATGAAACATTTACTAATTTTAAAATTATAGAGGGCTGGGGGTGTAGGTCAGTGGCAGAGTGCTCACCTAGAATGTGCAAGGCCTTGGGTTTTTGTTTTTGGTACCGAGGATCAAACTCAGGACCTTACACTTGTAAGGCAGGCATGGTGTCACTGAGCTAAATCCCTGGCCCTAGGCCTTGGGTTTGATCCCCAGCACTGCAAACAAAACTATATGTAAACTAAAGCAAAATTAAATACAATTCAAAAAATTACTTCAGTCATTTGTGTTTAAACTATTTTACAAATAATGCCTTTTATTGTCTTTCAAATACATTTTAATCTTTTCCCCAAAATGGACTTCCTCAAATAGAGATCTTATTGCACACAAACCACAAGACTTTGCTACAGAATAAATTAGTTTTGGTTTTGGGAAACTACTTCTAAAGCTGGCAAAATAACTCAATTTCTCTACTCCCAAAGTGACCAACCTTGATGACACAAACACAGAGACTGTGTATCTGGTGCTGTCACCTCTCTCTGGTGACTAATGACCTCCAAGTCATCTGATGCCTGGCAGGAAACAAACTCAGCGATTCAGGAACATTTGTACCCAGAAAAATATGAACTTATGATAATGAAGAAAAGAGATAAAAGAAAAAAATACCCCTGAACTCTTAATTCTCTTTAAAATTTCACTTATTTCCCAATACTTTTCTTCTACCATCACCTGACCCTATTCTTAACGTATTTTTTATATTTTCTTCAGTACAGGTAAAAATTCAGATGCCAAAAGTGGTTTAATTCTGTTTTGTAATAACTACAGTGAGATTTTAAAAATATTTTCAACAATAAATTGATGAAAGCTTTTAATATACCCATCTGGACTGTATAAGTACTGAAAATTTTATTTTGAAGTTCCTGGAATGTATAACTATATAAAACGGCACAATAGCTTATAGCTATTGCTAAGCATGACTAATGAAAGTGGGATTATTCAACAATTTTATTTTCAATCTTTCAACAAAAAAGCAAAATATTTGTTAAATTACCTAGGTAAAGTTGATCTTTAGAAATAATGTTTTCTAAGCTGCTTTTGAAGACGGTTAAGTAGGCAGCTCTGCAATTCATGTAAAATACCTCTTCTTCAGTTGGTGGAAGTTTCTTTCTTCGAAGGTTCTCTGAAGGCATTGATTTCTGACTGGTAAAAGTGACATCGCTTCCTGGATGGGTGGTCATTCTATTAGAAAATAATTGAAAGATTTGGTTTAGTCTCTGTTGGTCACCTAAAATGCAAATGTCACCATGCCCTTCAAATGTGGATGGAGAAACCAGACGATTTCATAGGGTCCTCCAAAGGGAATCAGTTGTTATATGTGAAGCAGATAAGACACTGCCTGACACGTAAAAAGTGCGAAATAAACTGTGGATATTGGGAAACTATAATTACGAGTATCTTTAAAGGAACTGGCGTTGGCACCTGCCCTCCACAGCAGGATCAACCCAGTCATTTCACTAATATCTGCATTTAGTATTTCAAATAACTGAACTTTTAAGATTACCACGGTGGCTTTGCTGTGTTCTCCTATTAGTAATCCTAGTTTGGGTTTACAGGGCACTTCTGCTCCTAAGAGCATAATGAACTGTCCTAAAACCTCCTTTGATCCCTACTAAGTGATCAGGTACCTTTTGTCCATTTTACAGATAAACAAACTGAGGGACAAAGAGGTCACAATAGTGCTAATAACAAGCATTGAGAGGTGGTGAATTTCAGTGAGTTTCTTCCTACCTATTGTGGAGGAAGGTTTGTCGAACAACAGCTTCTATGCAGTACTGAATTGTGCCGGTGGCCTAACAGCTCCCCACATACTTTATCCAGCTCTGACTGCTAAAAATACATTCCAACCTAATAAATTGAATATTTCAAGTTCAACAATAAGATGACACGAGTAGGGTCCCCTTCAGGACTCATTGGATTCTTCCTCGGGAGGCCTAAATCACAGGCACCTTCTTGAATTATATAGGTCTTTTACACTTGGGAAAGAAAGATAATAACCGCTTATCATGGATGAAGTACCCTATTTATAATACACAGGCCGCCTGCCTGACACTTTCATATTACGCCAGACTCCGAAGGAGCCCACAGGGATGCGGTGTCACAGTCTGGTTACTGCAAATCGAATCACTATAATTAAGCGCCACCGTTTTAAACACATATGCGTGCGCGCATCTCCTTGCGAATGTGAGGGCGGAAACCCTGTTCCAATATGGAAGAATGACTATTCCCTCCGCAACAAGCAATTTCAACATCTAAATATTGCTAGATCTTCCTCGAATACTCTTTCTAAACGGGGTGACTCTTTCACATGGAAATCCCACGGCGGAAACGTTCCAGAATTCCATCTTTCTCTTTCTGGGAAGAAAGACGAGAGTGGCACATAAATAAATACAGAATCGCACCCTTTGGGCTCGGACAGCTCCTTTGTTTAAACTCCAGCGAGCCCGCGGCCGGCGGCCCAGCAGACCCCGGGCCGGGGAGACACGGCCTCCGGGGGCCTAGACTGGGGCAGGAAAACACTTCGGTGTCCCGCGGGACGACGCCGAGAGCAGGGAGAAGGAAGGGCAGCGGGCGGGAAGAGGAAGCCGCAAGGGAGGAAAGCGCGAGCTAGGAGGGCGACACAGCGCGCTGCCTCACCCGGGTCACCTGCGAGGACGCGCCGCTCTCGGTTTCTCCGGTCTCTCCGCAGTCGAACTGCCGCCCGCCGGCCACGGGTTACCATGGCAACCGCCCTCCCCCGCCGGAGGTAAGATGCGGAGCACTTCCCCAAAGGGTCCGGCTAGAAACCTAGGGAGCCACTGAGTCACAGCGGACACACATGTTTTTGTTGCTCCTCTGTCCCGGGCTTCTATAACCAAAAATTTGACGGGGCCATGTGCTGCGTCCGGCAGGGAAGGAATGCGGCTCTAGGCCTCCACTAGTTCCACGCCTCTGTCCGCATTTACGCCGCCGGGCCCTTCGTCCCGAGGGGCGTGTTTCCGGCGGGTTGCGAGAGGTGTGACGCGGCGTCCTGGCCCGTGCGTTTCCGGTCCTGGTGACCCCGGGGTTGTTGCTTCGGGCGCGAAAAGCGTGCAAGTTCCCTTCGTTCAGCTGCAGTGGCGCCTCCCGAACCCCGAAATGCCGTAGGTATCTCCTTGCCCGTGCAGTGCTGTTTTAAGAGCCCCTCTGCAAGAGAGAACTGCAGATTTAATAGCCTTTTCAGTTTTCCCGGTTTTTTTCAGGCTGTAGCTCCACCTCTCCCGCCCTGAGCTCAGAGCTTCTAGGAATTTTCCCCCTATTTTTATATTTGTTAATTTTTACCTTTATAATTTTCTCTAATCAATCTTATTGTATATAGTGAAACCCGATTTTAAAAATACAGCTTTCTACATCAGTAAGTATGGCAAATAAAACAGAAAAGATGTAAATTGTATGTATAACTCCAAATCAGGAATAGCTTGACAGAAAATATCATTAAGTTAACAGTAATTCAGGGATCGGACTGTACCTAGAGTGTCGCTTCATTGGATTCAAATTTTTTCTAATTTGTGTACATAATGGTTACCTTCATCGTGACGACTTGGTACTTGTACATAGCGCATCTTAATTGTATTCTGACAGATGTTGTAGGCTGTAGACTGTAGGTGATGTCCACCATGAAATAATTCAAGGTGACTATTCAAAGGCGGGGACAGAGCATATCAAATCATGTCCATATAGCTTGTAAAGCTCTGTGGTGCCTTGGTTAGATTCAGAGAAACTCGGTAAGCGATTTCGTAGAGTCTCAGTACCTGGATTCCACTAAAGACTCACTGACTCAGTTTTCTTTGAAAAAAAGAAATGGTAATGTTTGTTCTTGATGATCTTTAAATTCCTGTCTAACCCCAGTAACCTGACTGAGAATGACCACGATGGAATAGGCATCTTGTTAGGTATTTAGTCTTCTTCCATCTCAAGATAGAGATGAACAAAACACAAGTTGGCTGCTCTGTGGAAACTTTAAAAAAAATCACTGAAGAAAAATGAGGGGTTGTGGGAGGGTAATCAGTACATCAGCTGCCTAGAAAGGGGATGGCAGCGGGGCGGGGGAGACTAAAGAAGAGAAGATCATTGAGGCTTGTGTAGTTTCAAAGTACATGGTGGGCCAGGATGGCAGTCCCTCCAAGCGGACAGACAGATGCTCCCAGCGCTCCACTATTAAGTTCATAGGAAGCATCTGATGACTCATAGGGTGGCAACAACCCTAAATTCACAAGGATCTTACAATCTGAGGGAGTATCCGATGTCTCAGAGGGAGGCGGTAATCCTAGGACAATGAGGACCTTATGCTGAGGAGGATCTGAGGTGGGTGAGAAGCTCAGGTTGATGGGGACAAAAGAGGAGCAAAGCATTCTTGCAGCAGAAGGTGGGGTGAATTAAGCAGATAAGGAATTTGCCCCTCCCAAGTGAGACCTTTCTCTTTCCACTGGGTTCTCAAAGAACCAGGATATCTTCAGCTGATGGAATCTTGTCCCTTGAGCATCATAGCATCACGGGACCATTGAGGCCTCAGACAGTCCTAATCATAATTTAATTGTGAAATGATTTTTTTTCCCCAAAATTTTGTAGAATGACTCTTGACAGGGGGTACCTAACATGTTTTCGTCTTGGCCCTCCCCTCTAAAGTAACATATTCCTTCAGTCTTAGGGAACATACTTGTTAGTAGGAATTGACATGAAAATGAAAAGATGTGGAAAAATGATAACCTGTTTTTGAGTCTTTATGGTCTGGGGTGTTGTGTTTAGCAGTTTAACCACATTTTCTCATTGACTCCTAAACTAGGCCATTAGGAGAAAGGGGCTGTTATCTTTATTGATAAGGGAACCAGGTACCTAATATAGTGTCTTACACATAGACACCAATAAATGCATGTTTTACTTTTACCTTTACAAGATAGAGTATTGAGGTTTTTTTCATTCTTGTTTCCCTGTTGTTGCATTAGAAAAATTACTCAGTTATTACATATACAAAGCTGCAGACAATGTAAAAAAAAATTCCTAAGTAAGAATATAATGAAGACAAACTGGTATGTATTTGCCTAACAAATGGTAATATTTCTTAAACTATTTTCCTGTTCTGTTGCAGAAGTAGAAGCCCAAAACACTATTAAAACACACACTTCTTGACAACTATATCCTGACAAATTCACAGTATTGAAATTGACATTTCGCATATCCTATATAGGGACTTTGCTAAGTTAATGTTTGCAAAGTGATTGGAAAGCAACTTTACAGTTTAATAATGCATGAAGCATAATAATAACATTTTAGCAGAGGAGCTCCATTACAGTTAGTAAACTTTTTATCTTTAAATATGAGTTGTGAGGTCATAAGGAGATGGTATAGTATTCATGTTGACAAGTTACATGTGAAGGTAGAATTCTTTATAAAATAGTGTCAAGATGATGGGTTTTGGTATGAGCTTGTAAGCTAAGTGTGGTATAACGTATGCCAAGGGATGGCTTGTATCTTTCTTATTTCTTTGTGACTTGAACGATTGTAATGAATAATTGTGGAAATATAGGAAAGAGTAATGTCCAATGGCACGAATGGGTGGGTGTATCTTAAAAACATGAATGAAAGAACCAATTTGTGAAAGACAACATGTAGTATATTGTCTTTATAAGGCTTCAGGACAAGAAACTCAGTTACTGGCTGCCTTTTGGGGGAAGCAGGTGCGATAGAGAAGGTGCAGGAAGATGTGTGTACTCTGCCACACTGGTAATGACCTAGTTCTTAAATTGTGTGGTGAGTTGGGGTGCTTTTTTCTTAGGTTTCATAATTTGCATTTCTTAGCATTAATTCTTTAATATACTTGACTTACAATTTAAAGGATTAAATAAGGATTTGGAGAGTACTTGTCTTTAGTTCACAATACGTATAGTTTTTCTCCACCTTCTGGGTGTTTTTTTCCTGTTTTGTTTTTTGGATGCTGACTTGGAGCTGGGGAAACAGGCGAATTAGGTCAAGGTTGCTCCTGGTCTCTTAAGGTCAATCTTCCCTTGAAAACATATTCCAGTCTTGTGTACATTATAAACTAGAGAAAATATCATTTCTCTTCCCAGGTTGAAATATCAGCATTTTTTAGATTGGAAGTGGGACAATCATGGACTTTGGGATGTGGGAGTCCAAGACTTGACTCTTTGTTCTGTTAACCAGCTATATAATCCCATTTTATTTTATATTTATGTAATGATAAAATCACATACAATGGTATTTGATGTAAATATCCCTTTCTAGTGCATTTTTTTTTTCCTCCCCTGCATTCTTGTATAAAGCTTTCTGGTAGGTACCATTTGCCACATCTTTCTTATTAATGTCCATTATCATCCTAGTTTAGCCAAGGACACTGAATTTCTGCTAAGAATTAACTTTGTTCCAAACTGACTGAAGAATAAAGTTAGAACATTGGAATATCATTAGTATAGCAGGAAATTGTTTGTAATAGTATTTCTCAGAGTGGGCTCCATTGTACTGATGTATTTATAAAAGTCTGAGAGTTTTCTGAGAAATCTTTAAAGGGTGCTTTTTTTCCGTTAGAAAGTGATTATGAGCACATTCTGGATCTGATAACCCAATTTTATTGCACCTGCTTGAGTTGATAGTCATGCTGGTTGCCAGTGCCAAGTGCAATGATTTTTATTTTGTGGATTGATTGTAAAGAAACATGTCAGTGGGCTGGGGATTTAGCTAAGCGGTTCGGTGGCCTGCCTTGCAAGCGCAAGGACCCGAGTTCAATCCCCGGTACCAAAAAAAAAAAAAAA